AATATACAAGTTTCACTTTTTAAATGGAATTACTGAAATAAATCTACTTTTTRATGATATTCTAATTTTATGACCAGCACCTGTATAGTTCTATTATAATGTCTTTTGATTTATCACTAAGTTTTTTTATCATTATATAACATATTTGATCTTGACCTGGTGTGGATATTTCACATTTTTGTAATGTTCTATTTAGTTCAGTTTTATTGAATGGTTTATTTATTAAATCATTTCCACATTCCTCTTCTTCTAATAAGGTTCTATTCTCAAATATGTTTTTTCTCTTCCTTTTCTTCCTTCTTCACTAATATTGTTTTTACTATGAATTTTAACAAAGGTTTTAGCTAGTATTTCAGCTTTATCCAAATTTTCAACTGCAATTATTTCTCCGTCTTGTATTATTGGACATCCATATTCTTGTTTTATTCCATTCATTCTTTTAATCATTGACCAAACTTTGCTTATTTCAGTTTCTCTTCCCACCGAACTACAAAAACCTCTCCAACATTCTTTTTTTTTCATATTTTTTATAGTTTTTCTTACAATACTTTGCTTTTTTTATACTCTATTAGATTTTGATTGTTGTGATTTCTTTTTAGCATTTTAAAAGCTTTATTTCGTGACTTAATTGCTTTTTCACATTCTTTTGTCCACCATGGTACTATTTTTTTCTTATTCTTTCCTCCTTTCTTCTTTATTGATTTGTTTGCTGCCTCCATAATAGCTGAACATATTGCTGTATTTAATTGGTCAGTGTCTTAATTTAAATCTATTTTTGTCATTTCCTTATCACTTATTTCCAAAAATGTTGCCCAGTTAGCATTATTGAAATTCCATTTTTGTATTCCCCTCCTGTCATACCTCTGTGCTTCTAACTCTAGTTTGATTATTATGGGATGGTGGTCACTTCCTGTTGTTGTGTCTTTGAGAACTTGCCATGAACTGATTCCTGCCAGAGAGTCTGATACTGTTGTAAGGTCTWTTGRTGATTCTTTTCCTGTTGTTACATTTATTCTTGTAGTGCTCCCATCATTTAAACACACCAGATTTTTAGTGTCCATAATTTCTTCTATTAGTAACCCATTGTGATCATTTTTATCACCCCACAATGTGTTATGCCCATTAAAATCCCCACACCATATTACTTTCCCATTTAACTGTTCAATAATGTCATTTAATATTTCTGTTAATTTTTTACCTGGATTGTAATAATTTATTATTTTTATGTTTCCACTTTTTGTCCATGTTTCTATTGTTATAAATTCCAAATTTACTCCTTTTTAACAATCTATAGTTTATTCCTTCTTTTATGAAAGTAGCACATCCACCTCCCATACCCTCTTCTCCATCTTTCCTGATGTTAGAGTACCCTTTTATGACAAAATCTAAATTAGGTTTTAACCATGTTTCCTGAATGCAAATGATATCTGGTTTGTTTTTACTATTTTTAATAAATCCTTTAAGTTCCTGACCTTTTGCTATGAGACTTCTACGTAGCATTCCACTGTAAAATAATCATATTGCTCTTTCCCCTGTTGATGCTGATTTTCCATCTGCTCCCAATGTTTTGTTAACGTGCTCCCATGTTACATCTTTCATTCTCCACATTCTTCATATCTGTGATTTTCTCCACATTTAGGACATCTCTGTTGTCCCCTGCACACTGCTGCTACATGACCATACCTTTGACATTTAAAACATCTGACTGGAGGTGGTATATAGGGCCTAACTGGAAAACTCAAATAACCTATTTTTACTCTTTCTGGGAGTTTGGTCTCATTGAATTCTAACATAACTGTTGTACTGTTTACTCTTTGTCCATCTATGTTTCTTGTGAATCTTGTTATTTTATTGATTGTTACATTAGAGATACTCTTTTTTAGTTTCTCCACGTCTTCATCTGTTGGGATTCCTGTGATTACTCCTTTTGTCACTTTGTTTTCTCCAATGATTTTCTTCTCTTTCACAGTCTTTTTACAGATATTTTCGATACTCATTACTGTATTTTTTTGCTCCTCAGTTTTAACAATAATCAACAAGTTTCCATCTCTGAGTGTTTTTGCAAAGTTTACCTCTCCTATTTTCTTTTTCACTTCTCTTGATAATGTTATTGGGCTTAGTTGTACATTTTCTTCTTCTGCTTCAAATCTTAGAATTATTTTAAATTCTTCTCTCACAATCTTTTTACAAGCTCCTTCATTTTCCTCTTCCGAGCTAACTTCCTCTAACGASCGTTTTGAGTTTCCAGCCCAACTTTTCTCTTCTCCCTTTTTTCTTCCTCTTCCTCTTCACTTGTAGTTCACTTGTAGTTCACTTGTTGGCAAGACCCGAGTGAGCAGCACTTCCCAGTACCACAAGTTTTTGTTAAAGAAAGTTCCAGAAATGAAGCGTTAATCCCTCAGAGACTGAAACTGGTCACTCTTTGTGGAGTTGTGGATTTAAAGTGCTGTAGCTGAATGAACAACAAATGTAAGTCTCCTACAAAAAATAAAGGTGAAATTAATGTACAAATAGCATAAAACTAAGGAGAACGAATTATCTTTTTTTTCAGTAAAACTTCCTTTAAACACACCAGCTGTTGTAAAAACACACTCGACTATAAAAAGTAAGTCTGTTTCATGCTGTCAATCCAATGAAATGATTCATGTTAAATAGTAATTGTATGATTTGTGGTTTTAGCTCCTGGATGTGGAAAATTTGTATTGTTTGCTTATATTGTTAAATTTTTTTGTAAAATAATAAACCAGAAAACATTCATTTTTGTCTGTGCTCAATTTCTTTATTTAAAACTTTTTGTCACATTATTAAAGTTAAAAACGTATATGTTTTATGATACATGTCCTTGTGTGACTGGTTAGGTTAAAATAACTCTAAATCTCTCTAACTCTAGATGTTATAGTTTTAGTCTCAGCCTTAGTTTTTGTTTAGTTTATTCTCATCTTAGTCGTGTCATGTGTTTTTTAGCAGATTTTGTTTTTCAGCCTGTTTCAGTCCTGCTCCCACTCCCATTACAGATTCTGCACTTAATCAAGCTCATGCCACTCACCTGTATTCCTCTGCATTTAAGGCTGCCACCTCCCACACCCGGGTGCCAGTTTTTCATCAGCTAGCCTATGATCTACCAGCATCTTGTTTTCACCATGGCTCTTCGACCTCCTTTGTCTCAGCCCTTGTCAGATACCTCCATCCATCTTCTCTCCTGGTAATGATCCTGTTTTTTTTTTTGTTTGTTTTTCGGACTCCTGCCTCTCGTCTCTGCCCTGCTCGGCACCACGACACCTGACTTCCTGGTTTACGACTCCCACCTGTCTCCTGGTCACGAGTTAAGTCTTTCCCTCTCAACCTGGTGAAACTTCTGATTGCCCTGTGTATGATCCTTGCCTGTATCATGACCCCAAATAAGTAAAATCAGACCTGTGATGTCTCTGAAGCCAGTTGGTGACATCATCGTTATTACCCGAAACCAAACAAACACGGGACTGTTTCCACACGGAGGTTTCCTACGAACATCAGGTTGGTGGTAAATAAGTCACTTTGTCTTTGTCCAACCCCATCCAGTCACCAACCAGTTTTTTTTCTGTCCATATTATTCAACCCACATTCCTGTTTGGTTCCAGCTCTACACCAGCATCTTTAATAAACATTGTAAACCTTTATCTGTTTATGGGTATTTTATCAGAGCTCAAGTTCATATTCATATAAGATCAGTAATTCTTGTTTTCCTCAACAGACTGAGAAAAAGTGTGTGAATGACTGTTCTGTGAAGCGCTTTAGGGTCTGATGGTGCTTGAAGCACTATGCAAGTTTCAGTTGATTTACCAGAGTGACAACCTTGACATTGAAATTGTTGTCCTTTTGTTAGTATTAGTTTTGGATCTAGGGAAAAGATTAGCCTACAAAACTTTTTAATGATGCCAAAATCCACACATGGGTATTCAAAAAAACTTCCATAAATGTTGTCCTGATGCATCTCACTAATCCAGGTAAAAAATCAAAAAGAAAAAAAACTGTATAGGTCTTCTGGACGGGTTCTTCTCTAATGAAACGTTTCGTCTCTCCAAGAGACTTCTTCAGTCTGAGAGTTTCAGGCAAAATTCAGGCTTTTAAGCCCAGCCTCCATGTGACTGATACTGTTATTTACAACAAACACTTTAACCTGATCCATCACTACCCAACAAATGTCGGAAGGAAGAGAGGTTTAACAACTTTACTGTAGTTTATTTAGATAGAATACTGACCTATACAATTTTTTTCCATAAATGTTTTAGATTTAACATTTTAAATTTATGTTGAAAGGGCCAGACGTGGTTGAACCCTAGTAAATAGCCACCAGTACCGAAGTTTAAAAATGTAAAACCACAGAAATTTGTTTACAGGTGTAATAAAATGATGGCTGTGAGAGTCAAACCATAAAGCAGTATATAGATATGGTTCTCAGACAAAATTTCACAAACTTGACATTTTCTTTGTTCATACATAACAATGGGTTCACGGTGCCACACATTTTATTTCACTATGTGCTCAAACAGGAAGCAGCTTGTGGTTTTTACTGCCAAATGGTGTAGAGAACATTATGTGCACCCACAAAATTATACTGATTATCAGTACTGTGAAACTTGTGTTGGAGCTTCTCCAACCTTTACAGGGTATCTGCAGGTTTATAAAGTCAAATTTAAGACTTTTAAGAACTTTTTAATACCCCTTTGAATGAAATTTGAGACTGAAAATATAAGTGATGGTTCAGGGATTCTGCTGTATTACAACCAAGCACGTGTGTCACTCAAAGCAATGAATATAAAAGATATTCAGCTCTCTGGATAAATTGGCTGTATTTTACAAGTGCAGTTATTTGGTTGTAAATAAACCAACAAAAAGTACATCTACTAAATACAGCCATGGCATGAAACTGGCCTTTACAAACCAGACGTCATCCAGACAACTGTCAAACACTTTAACCTGACCCATCACTATCCAACAAATGTCTGAAGGAAGAGAGGTTTTAACAACTTTACTGTAATTTATTTTGATGTAATATTAGTGTTTTGAATTGAGGTACTCTGATACAGTTTATTAGAAAAAATATAGCACGTTATTTTATAAAGAATAAAGGTTAGGGGATTTTTAAAAATTTGAAAATAGAGTTTTCAAATCAAGAACCTGAGAATACTTTTCTAAAAAACATTAGGTTGAAAGTTTAAAGTAAAAAAAGATTAATGACTAGTTCAGGCTGAAGAAACTATTAGTTTTTTTTTTACCTCTCAGCAGCAGTAAGCAGCTTTCAGAGAAGTTTTTGTTTGAACCATCTGTTGGCAGATCACACTTATCAGATCAGGGTCAATGTCAATTTTATTTGTAGCACATTGAAAACAACAGCAGTTGACCAAAGCAATCATCACAATCATAGCATAAAACACAGATTAAAAAAACCACAGAGATCACAGCAAACAGAAAACATGTTGAGTAAAAGCATTGGAGAAACAACAACTCAAGCTGTATTAAAAGCCAGTTAAAACAGATGTGTTTTTAAAAGACATATAAAAAGTGGAAGCAAAAATTCCTGTCTAATGTCAGAGGACAGGTTGATCCAAAGTTTAGGTGCCAGAGCCGAAAAGCCTGATCTCCTCAAGACCAAAGCCAGTTCGTTCTTTTAATTCAGTTCACAATAAGTCCCAACAAACAGGACACTTTACAAAAATAGAAAAAGAGAAAAAAAACAATTGTAAATAGATTGAAATAATACGCTTAACAAAAACATTCTAGCCATTGCAGCCATTTGAGTCAGATCTTAAAAAAAGAATGTACATTTCACATCTATTTATGTCCACCACACACATCCTCACATTAAAGGTGATATCTTCAGAACCGCTTTTTCAGCGAACAGTGACATTTAAGATGAATTTCCTCTTTGTCTACAGAGTTTCTAGCATGTGTCAGAATTACCCTGAAAATATAAAAAAATCAAGAGAAGCAAGGAAAAATAGACTTTCATTTTCAGTGTGGTTCATTTAAACCACTTGGGATATAAATGCCTTTCCAAAACTGTTAAACATCATCATCTTCATCAGTTTGTGCCACAGCTTCTGAAAATGATTTAGACTCAAACATACGATGAAATATTACTTCAACTCTCTGGAGCAGCTGTCTGAACTGAGCAGAAATGTCCTCTTGGACATGGAGGTAAACCAGAGGGTTCAGAGCACTGTTCAGACTCACAAGACCACGACTGATCTGATGAGCATTGAAGACAGCAGAATCCCAGTCTTTGCATATGTTCTGTTTTACCAAAACTCTAGAATAGAGGCTGAGGTTTTTGAACACATGGTGAGGTGTATAACAAACTGAGAAGAGAAGAATCAAAATGAGCAAAAACCTCAGGCTTCTTTGTTTTAGGACTTTGTCAATTGTAGTTCTGCTACAGAGAACACAAATCATGTGTCCATAGCATCCCAGTGTGATAAGGAGCGGGATACAAAATCCAGTGAGAGTTCGTCCAAGACTGTACTTCAGGTAATCCTCCATATGTTCAAGGGAAGTGCTGTCATAACATTTAGCCTGTTTTCCAAATCTTTTAGGGAAAAACATGTCTGGCAGACTTTGAACACCCACCAGGATCCAAACCAGGACTGAGATGATCACAGAGTGAGTCACAGTTAATCTTCCCATCACTCTCATTGGATGGACAATGGCCAGGTACCTGTACACACTTATACAGGTGAGGAAGCCGATGCTGCAGTACAGATTCAGGTTGAAGCAGAATCTTGTRACCTTGCAGAACTTGTCTCCAAAGATCCATGTATTTTCTTTAACGTAGTACACCACCAGGAAGGGAAGTGTCAGCAGATACAACATGTCTGCAAGTCCAAGATTAAAAACAAAGACATTTACATCCCCCAGCTTCTTCCAGTTGTGCAGCAAAGACTTCAGTCCCCATCCGTTAGCTACCAGCCCTACGATGAACACAAAGATGTAAAGAGTAGGCAGGATCCTGTGCTCAAATAGTTTGTCTATGTTAAAACAGCTGGAATTATTCATTTTGCCTTTTAAAATACATACAGCTCTTCCTCATAAGCTGTGCTTACAAATGAGAAGAAAAGGTGAAGTGACCTAAATCACTTCCTCTTTGAAATGTCGCCATCTCCTTGAAGATCTGATACCACAAAAAATGTTTACATGCATCACTTTGTTTGGAGCAGTATAAACTATAGTTTCAAAAGTAAAAAGTGTTTATGCTTTTAGTTTTTCTGTGACTGTGTTTTTAAATTATGTAGCTAACTTAAAAAAAGATCAAAAGTGTTAAATGTTAACTGTTTTTTTCTTGCGGGTAAAACGGGCTTGTCACAGGATGTGTTGCATTTAAACAGCATTTCTAAGTAAAATCTTCTGCACAGGATGCCCTGTTCACAGAACCTACCATGTGGCTAAGTTGTGGTCCAGAGGCAAGGTTAGTGTGTGTGTGTGTGTGTGTGTGTGTGTGTGTGT